GCTGAAATGGCAACTAACTATATCTTTGGATATTTCAGTACTTGGTCGTAAACTGGCTGCCCGCAACGTCGATTGTCCTATGGCAAATCGACGTGAACGAGAGTGCTCCTCTTTGGTGGACCTTTGTAATCACTCATGGTATCTGTTGGGTGGTCATTTTTGGCGGCAGTTTGGTGATGGATCTTCCGGAGTTACTGGGCATCAAGCAGGCCTATTATGATCTGAAGGCTTACGGACCGCCCATTAACTACAAATCCGGGGAATTGCGCGATCTCTATGCTCATGTGAGGCATCCATCGTTTGTTGGCCTCTCGGTTATCCTGTTTGCCACCAATGTAATGAGCGTGGATCGCTTGGTCATGGCCCTGCTCCTGACCACCTACATGTACCTGGCCTGGTCCACGGATCGCAAGGATGTGTCCTACCAAAAGCTCCAACTGCAGCGCAAGAAACTCGAACTGAAGGCTCAGTAAACTTAATCTCCATAATGTTCTCACTAAGACTTAGTTGTAATCTGACACGAGTTTGTATTAAATAAGAGTTTTCTAACACTTTTAATCCAGTCATAGTTTTGATGTTCAAATTAGTGAGTAGAATTAAATCTTCAGTTCATTATCTGAATGTTAACTTATGTATTAGCTTATCATTAACCAATTCTAACTCATTCTCACAATAGACGGATCAAAGGGTTGTCCCTTAAAAGGGGAACCCTCGGCATCCCAGGCAGTTCGTAAACGATCCAGGGTCTTAGCTTGTTCTGGGTTGGAGGTCTGGATTTCATTTTGTTCCTTATCTGCTGCCAGTTGCTGGACCCTGAGTTTTTCAATGGTGGCCTGGGTATCCTCCGGTAAGTCATCTATGTAGCGTTCGCATTCAATTTTCTTGGCATCGATTTCTGGGTCACCTTCAAAGAGACGCTCCCACCATTGTTCCTTAGATTTATCTGGAAGGTTATTCAGAGTGAGTTATTAAAGATTTTAGAGTTTATCTTTTGCAGTTACCAACCACAACTAATGAGCAACCGGTTCTGGTCAATGGTCCACACAGCCTCGTTGTGTTTAATCCGCTGGCTCAGGTTTCCCTCGAGGATTATGACCTCCGGACTCTGTTTGCTGCTTACTTTTATGTGCTGGGCCTTAATTAAGATGTTAAGTTTTTTCGCTGCTTGAAGATCCCTGGGTAACTGGATATGCATGTCCAGATCTTTAAGAGTCTGTGACCAGCAATGGGTTTCAAACACAGCTCCGTTTTTGTAGTCACTAGGCAAGAACGTGGTCTTCTCATTAGATTTTTGTGATGGGAGATTTTTCTTGGAGCTGTTATGTTCCTTTTGGGATAGATCTTCACTCTCCAGGACCACTTCTTCAATGGCGGGCGGAGCAGTTTCCCCATCATCTCCTAATGCTCCTCCATCGGCGGTCATCGTTTGGAGCAAGCAATCCGGATCGTAGCGCTGCATAGCACCATATAGAATCTGATCCCTCATGCCCTTTGGGAAGCCTATTTTATCAGATTCATCGCGTTTTGTGTGATAAAAATCAGTACTGAAAGAAAAGGAAATTAACATTTGGTTTTAGAATATGGGCAAAATCTTTACTTGCGCCGCAGGAAGCCGAATATTGAGTCCAGGAATCCTGTAATTGTCTTGCGATCCTGGAGAATCTCCATTAGCATGGCATCATTCCTTTGGAAGTCCATTTTTTAGGAAAGCAAAACCTAGTAAACAAAACTGAACTAAAGCCGGTTTAAATAGATCAGCTGTTAGTCTATCGATAACGCAAATTTAAAAAGTGCAAAATCCTCATATACTAAAGATTTAAGTACTGTGAATACATTTAATATTTATTGTAATCTTTATTTATTTTTAAAAGAACGCATTTTATTTTATTAATATACACAACATTTTTAAATTACTGGTAGCAAGTTGGCAGTTCTGCGTCAAAACAAATTTATCGATAGCTCTGTAACTCCATTCCCAAATTATAAATAGAAATATAATAAAAATGATCGGTAGGCTATCTTTTTGGTACAAAGACAACGTTTCCAACGAGGTGGACTGTCTGGCTTGTCGATTAATCAGTGGAATTGGTCTCCTTGGAATCGGTGCATATCTGTTGGCACAATCGAAGAAACGTCCGAAGCCCCTGGCAAATTACACCATAAAAGGCTTGGCAGCAGGTGAGCCATTCATTTTGGCCAAATTCCGGTTTTTATGATCACTTTCTTCTCCTCCGCCCTCAGCCGTTGGTTTACTGGGCGTGGCCCGACTGGGAAATGCGAATTTCCTCAAAGCAACTGCGGAAGAACCGAAGGAGCAGGAATCCAAGACTTTAAAGAACCCCGCTGGTCATCAGTTCTTTGCTAGACGTTAATTGAATAAGGTGATTTTAATTGTAATAATTCGTTAAATTTATAAATGTTTGGGTATAAACCTATACAATGTTTAAAGTTCTTTTCTAAAACCATCTTAATCCCACAAAGGCTATTGGAATATTTAGAATCTGCATATATTGTTACATATATTGTTATTGTTGGCTTTTAGTTCATGTTTACAAATATTGTAAAACGTCTAGGGATTTTCGGTTTTATGCTGCATTCTGGCTATAAATCGGGAAAGTAATCAATAAGTTATAGAGGCCGTATAATATTTCTTCCCTACAATATTCGTAGTTTTTTGCTCGGCTTTTGTTGATCTCATGATTTTTACAATACGTTGTTACTTGGCTTTACGAAATTTTCTATACTAGGCTATTTTTGATCATTTAACTTTAACAATGAGGTTTAAATTTACAAATTGATATATGGGCCTCTATAATCTTGCCGATTGCCTTCCCACACTTTCAAATCCCTAGCGTCCCACCTTTCCCAACTTGGTGTCAGTCTTTGGATTGGCCGTGATGTTTTGCACCGCCACAATTGTCTCGTTGATGTGTGTTTGCAGCTGGCGAAGGCTTTGAATCTGGAGAAGGCGCAGGATCCGCATTGGCAGATCCAGGGAAGGATCGTTGGAGGAGACCACGTCATTTCCCTTGTCGAATGGGAAGGGTGTCCCAACAATCGGCTTCCGACCCTTGGCGGCGGGGGAGAGGCGTTCGTGCACCACCCGGGCAACCGCCTCCAGCTGCAGCAGGTGGTTCGGGTGGTGCGGCACGTTCAGTTTGCTGGCCAGCAGACGCACTGCATCCACAAACGCCTTTTCCTGAACTGTTGGTAAAAATTGAGATTAATACGGTTTACATTTTGTACCCTTACTAACTAAGTTGGATTTTTGTGGTCAATTTTAACGATTGTAATTATGTTAAAAATTTGAAAATTTTTTAATGATGAAACACAAAAATCATACTTACCATTAATCTTTCCATCGAAAATTGATTGAACCTTTTGGTGGGCCTGCTTGCCATTGCTTTGGGGTGGTCCCTGCTTGCTGTTGATCGAGGCAAACTGTCCAGGATCATCCAGGAACTCCAGACGGACGGCGTGACTGAGGATCCAGGCCAGCTGCTCCTGTTGGGTCTCCAAAGGCGGCATGTTCAGATCCGCACAGTACTTCATGTAGCCCTCCTCCCACATCGTGGGATTGTCGATGTTCCGCAGCTTTTCGCGATCCTCAATGGTGTACAGCCGGATTTTTTGATCCTCCACCCAGAGGATTGTGCTGGCGAATTCCTTGCGACCTGAAATCATCGACTGATGATTTGTCATTCCAAGCATCAAGGACATTTCTTACTGCTCAGCGCCACATCGCCGGGCGTGGGATGACCCAGGGCCTCCAGTTTTAGCTTCAGCATGGTCTCCTTTCAGCCGCTTTTAATACAAAAATCGATACGATTCGCTTATTAAAAAACCTCACAGCCGGTAATGCTTCTTCTTCTTCAGTATGACCGCGGAATACATTCCAAGTGGTCACCCTAATAAATCGATTTACTCTAGTGATGGGACTGCTAAAAATATAACTATCGGACTGCCAACTCGTGATTATTCTAGCTATTTTTGAAAAGTAACGAGGATTTGTAGAACAATCCAAATAAGAGTTTGTTAAATAAAAGTTGGGTGAAAACTTAATCGTTTCACCAAATTTTAAACTTTATAGGGAAAACATAAAAAATATTTGTATACGTTAACTTAATTGGATACATTTGCAAACATTAAATATTTAACTTAATTTATTAATTTTTGATTGTGATATTTTACAACTGACGAACATACAGTATGTGTTTTGTAGGCACAGTGTTTGAATTTTAAATGATTTAAAATATTTTAACAAATTACCATTCACGTCTGACAATTATATTATTTTTGCTTTAACTAATGCAGTATTAGTTGTACAAAGCTTTTTCCGGTAACTACAGTTCTTTCACAGTTGGCTGGATCTTTGACGTCCACCCAGTAAAAAGTATCATAGTTTAGTCCTCCATCTCCCGGCATTCGCATTTATCTTCATTCCATTCTAGGATCATCTTGTCCCATCCCATTTAGCGTTTCTGATGGCCACAATTTATAAGTAAAGCGGCAACCACTTGTCCACCATCCACTCGCGATAAGAAACGACAAAGACAAAGTCTGTATTGTATATCATATATGTATGTATATTAATTAAATAATTAAATTAAGTTTGAGGGACATACATTTACATCCTAGCAAATTATAGACTAATAACTACACGTTATATATCGAGATGCTGAGTTATAATATTTGTTTGCAAACAACTACACGAATACACGTATCAACAGCAGCACTTTTCTATTATCCCTCAGTGTCTTGTAGTTTCTCTGGATCCTCTAGGCAATCCCCCCAGAATACAGGAGGATTACCAGAGCTAGAAGCTACAAATCTGGAGACCAGACAGTTCGTTTTCGTTCTCTCTTATGTAGCACGTTAATTATATGTGAGAAAGTTTAGTATACAAATTGGTGCACCCACCCATATATGGTTTTTGTTTTTATGGTTTATTGGTTTCCTAACGCCAAGCTTTTTGGGTGTGGGTGTGTTCGTTATTAGTCGTATTTGCGTGCTTCTCTACAGCTTTAGTTCGATTTGCTTCGCTTTGTGTTTTATAGCATTTTATGGTTGTGTTTTGTTTTGTTTGTTTTCTTGGTTTTATTTATTTAATATTTTAAATTAAGATTAAGATAAAAACCTAATTATTTATCTTGTCATTTAGGCCTTAAGTAAGTTCGATATAAAATAAAATGAAGCAGCAGCACTTCCAGCAAATAATACAGTTAACATAAAATTACAGCATTAGGGTGTTCAATTTATCAATTTGTTATGTTCAGTATGTATGTATATGTTATGCATATTTATATATTTATATCACCTAATTTGATTTTAATTTAAATTTTTCATTTGTATGCTTGTTTCGTTTTACTTCGCCTCCGAGTTATGCGATTAAAACTAAGAAATTGGAATTTTCGCAGACCATCCACACAACATACACACAAACATAATACGAAATGCAGTGCTGCCACTTACATGTGCCTTCTAACATTGCGTAAAAAACAAAAATACAGTGAAATTTACATAATAGTTAAGTATGTACAATTGTTTTAATCATCATCGTCTCCTTTCGTTAAATCTTCTGCGTTGCCCTAGTCCACATAAAATCCATTAAACTGCAGTACAATAGGTCATATTATATGGGGCTTGGGTTTTAGATATTTCCGTATGCTTTCTACTGTTCAGTTTGTTCAGTTTATGAGTTCCAATGCTGCACATTGTGGTAATATGTAGGTATTAGTAAGTGGTAGAATTTAAAAACTATTCTCTATATATTTATATCAATGTCTAGATGTACGTATGTATGCATTCATCCCTTTTACATACACAATTCATTCTCATGTAATTTAATGTTAATTTATGCATTTATTTATATATATATTTAATATACGATAAACCATAGCGTGCGTATGCATATGTATGTGTTAGTTATTCCTCCTTTCTCGTCCCTTCGTCGTTTTTTATTAAATTTAATACAATAAGTATGCTGTGTGCTTGAATTTCGATCTTCCCATCGTTATAACTTCCGCATCATGTTCGTCGTCTCAATAATAATCCTCCGATAGGATGTCTCAGTTGTTCTGTTCTAGCTTTCGCCCTAAACAACAGTTTTCATTTCGTATTATCATTATTTTGCTGCTGCAATTGCTTAACGCTTAGGGTTTAGTTATCATATTTACTATTTTTAGATTTGAGTGAAAAAATATACAGTTGTTATTGTATTGACTGTTACAGTGATGGATATAGGTGAGCCAAATCCATCGCAGAGACATTCCTGCTGCTGCTGAGTTCCCGTTTACGTATCCTTGAGCTCCAAGGACTCCCTCTCCCAGGCGCCATTTAAGTAAATTTACATGCCTTCTCTACACTGACTCCAGGGATCTCCTCCCCGATCATCATCTTGCACCTCGGAGTTGCTCCCAAGTCCGCTGTTCCTCCACATCCATTTCCAACTCCAGCTTAGTCGACTGCCCCTCGGGGGGTTCGTGGCCAGTAGTAGGATGCTGGCATCATTGTCGTATACTACGCAACGGCTGTCGTTGTTCCTGCATTGGTTGGCGGCGGTGCCGCTGGCTGTGCCACCGCCGCTCCGGCGGACACATTCGAAGACGACGACGAGGGTGGGGCAACGGAAGCCGCTGCAGCCGCCGCCGCAGCTGCTGCTGCCGCTGCACTGGCATTGCTCAGAGCCGCAGCTGCGGCTGCCGCTGCAGCCACCTTGCTCACCTGCTGCTGCTGATCGTTGACCATTGCTGCTGCTGCTGCTGCCGCGGATGTTGCTCCCGGTGCTCCGACCGATGTGGCTGCCACTGTGAGCGTCGATTGGCTGCTGATTGCACTGCTGCTGTGGCTGCTGTTGGTGGTGCTGTTGTTCGTCTGGTTGCTGCTGGCCGTTCCGCAGCTGTTGCTATTGGTGCTGCTGTTGCTCACGTCGTTAAACGTCGCTGCCGGCGGCAACTGCTGGCTGCTGTTGCTGTTCTCATCATTCACCACTGCTGTTGTGGATGTTGAAGCTGCAGGCTTTGCTTCAGTGGAACTCGTTTCCGACGACGCTGACTCCGCCTTGACTACTGCTGCTGCTGCTGCACTGGCAGCTTGCTTCTCCGCTGCTCCAGGACGCAGCTGTTGTTGCTGTCGCTGCTGCAGCAGGCGGAACTCCACAGAGTGTATGGGTCCAGTTCCTCGCGACACTTGGTAGAGTACCCGGGAAATAATCAAAGCCACCTGCTGATCCAGGATGTGCGACATGACCAGACCAAGCAGCCGCTGTTCCTGCTGCATGAACAGGGACCGGTTGTCTGGGTGCTTGGCCAGATGGAGCAGGGTTCCAGCTGCTCGTCGCAGCATGTCCAGGCTGGTGCCCATCGAGTCTGGATTCTCGCGCAGGTAGTTGATGCCATGCTGGTTCGCCACGCCCAGCGCCGTTTGCTCAGCCTGTTCGATGAAGGCAACCAGATAGGAGATGCACGGTGACTGAAGCGCCACAGTGCGAGCCATGGCGCTGTCGGCGGCGGCAAGGTAGTGCAGCAGATTTACGGAGAACTCTCGCAGCACCTGATCCTCGTTACGGCACAGATGTCGGGTGAGAACGGCGCACAGCTTCTCGAGCCGCGAGAATGGGGGAGTAGCAATCACCAGATCCACGTTGGCATCCGTCACGCACAGCTTGCAGAGCGCTTCGAGCGCCAGGCGCTGCGGAGAGAGCGCCGTATTGGGTCCACACGACGGGAACGGATCCTGGCCATGGGCACTCGGACATACGGCCCAGTGCAGCAGACCGTCAATCAGGGGGCGGGCGATGAGCTCATCGTAGCGCGACAACTCCAAGTGACCGGCAATGTTGGCCATGGCGACCAGCATATTCTCCCGAATGGTGACCAAGTAGTCCCACCACCATTCACGCTCTCCTTGCAGCGAGCTGCACGAGTCACTGAAGTCCGTGTCCTCCTCGCGATCGTAGTTCCGTGTCTTGGGCGTGCGACGCAGGTGCTCGTGGTTTAGTAGGAGCAGTCGGCCAAGCACCGCCAAGAACCTGGTGGACTTGGCCAGCACCGTCTCGTTGCCGGGTACGAACGTCAGGTTGCGGAAGATGTTAGAAAGGGCGATACAGCGGCGCGCCAATGAGTCTTGGCTCTCGTTGACCAGGTGCAGGGACGCCTCGTCGCGTGTGTAGCACTCATCCTCAAAGCTGGAGTCACGCCTCCGCTGCAGCACACGCGCCACATCTTTGGCTGTCGTCCGGGGATCAAAGGTTTCGGGATTCGAGGAGCAGGGTGCCACGCCGTTGGTCAAACGTTGCTGGGGCGCTTCGATATCCATGTCAACAGGGCGACAATCGCTGTCAGCCGTTCCAGGCTCCTTTTTGACTTCCGCGATTGGTTGGGCGAATTCCTCACTCGCCAGCTTTGACTTCTTGCCCTCAGCAGTAGGTCCACTGCTACTGCTACCGCCGCTTACCAGTCGCCTCTTCTTGTTGAACGCCTGTTCCTCCGAACTGTTTTCCTCCTGCTTTATTTCCGGCTTTCTGGCCGTGGTCGCCACTTCCGTCCGCGTTTTCGCCTTCTTTTCAGAGCGGACGTAGCGTGCAAATGGAATGTTTACAATCTCAGACTTGAAGACGTCGATTATGCCGTCGAGGGGATCTGGTTCGGTAAATCCGTACGTCCAGGCGTCGCTGCCCACGGGTTCCAGCTGTTCGTACAGGCGGTTAGTGTCTATGTCCCACGCCTTCTGGCGCTCGTCCACGAAGATGTCGTGATCGGCGGTCTGGATGCGCACTGGCACACCCTTCCGCGTGACCATCGTGTAATTGGGCGTAAAGGAGAGTAGCAGTGAGCGCTCCTCGGGATTGGGCTGTACTCGCACCTGTCCCAAATCAATGCCCTCGTCGGCGTCTTCGGAGTCACTGCCGTTGCCGGGTCCGCTCTTTCCACTGCGATCCATGTTCTCGTAGTGCCGTCTGCGGTTGTAACTGCTAATGCTGCGAACACATCGCGACTGCCGTCCGCTGCTTCGTAGCTTTTCACACATCACAGTGCCGCTGTCCGCATCGTCGTCCACCGCTTCCTCCGCTAGCAGCGAGGATGGCTCCTCGTTTTCCCGTTCGTCGAACATCTCGGCGAGATTCTTCTGAAAGTGTTCCAGCAGCAGAGTCAGCAGGCCGGGCAGGTTTGAAATGCCAAAGAACTGCACCGTAGAATCGTCGAACAGTAGTACATTGAGAACATCTAGCGCCCACGTACATTCGGTCAGCAGACCGGATCGCATGGCCATAAATATCCGCCATGGATCCACCGGGCACACGTCTGCCTTCGTAAGCCGCTTTCTCCGGTATAACACCGGTGTGGTGGACTCCACGCTATCGTGCGGGAAGATCAGTTCCTTCTTCACCAGCTGCGCTCCGCCTCCAGGCATTCCTGGCGGTCCGTATCCACCGCCGGGTGCAGTCTGATTGGGCGGAATCTGATGCGGATGCTGGTGCTGTGGATGCTGATGAGGATGGGGGTGTTGATGCGGCGGAGGCTGCTGCTGCAGAGGCTGTTGCTGCATCACTTGGCCCGGCATCGGCGGTTGCTTTTGGGCCATCATGCCGCTGGGTGGCACCTGCTGACCCACACCCTGTGATGGTGGCGGTGGCATAGCGTACGGTGGCTTGACCATTCCTCCAGGTCCCACTTGGGGCAATCCTGGCGATGGAACGCCGCCATGGGTAGCTTGTTGCGGCGGTGGTTGTTGAACTCCACCCGGTTGTTGCGATTGTGGCTGCTGTGGCGGCATTCCGGGCATCCTCTGCGGCTGACCTGGTCCGGAGGGTGGGCGCAGTGGGGAACCGGGTGGTGCTATTCCTGGCTGCGCCGCTTGACCGGCATTCATCTGTGTCCACTGTGGCGGCGCCTGAGGCGGCTGCTGTCCAGGAGGCCCAGCCACCTGCTGATACGGTGGCTGCTGCTGTTGCTGTTGAGGCTGTTGCTGCTGCTGGGGTGGCGGCGGAGGACCTTGCTGCGGCGGGTAGCGGTGCTGATCCCACTGAGCCACTCCCGCTGGCTGCTGGATGGGCGGTCCATGAGGTGCGCCCTGCGGAGGCGCAGCACCGCGTGGTGGAGCACCTCCCCAGCTTTGCGGAGCAGGCGAGGTTGGGTATTGTGGCCGATACTGCTGCGTGCCGCCTTGCCAAGCACCTGGTTCAAAGAAAGAGCAACTTTATTACTATTTGCTCTATGCAAAATAATCTATTTTATGACTTACCATATATTTGAGGCCTAGCATTGTAGCCTGGATAGGGCTGCGAGTCTTTGATGAAATCGGGATGCCTTCGTGGCTGTGGACTCTGCGAAAAACAAAACACATATACCATTAATAAAATTCAAACCAAGATTAGCTTTTAAAGATTCTTACTTGATCTGGTGGTGGTTGATAGTAGTCCTGCTGGGTGGGCCTGCCCGTAGGATAGGCGCTGCTGGGTGGTGCTCCTGGAGCTCCGCCGGTCGGGGGTCCGCCTGCAACCGTCTGCGCCGGCGGCTGAGGACCACCTGGCGGTGGCTGACTGTAGGGTCGGCTGCCATAGGGGCCGTACTGATTGGCACCAGTTGGAGGACTGCAAAAAGGATTAAAAAGAAAAAACAAAAACCAAAAGTTAGTAATCCTTTTCAGTAATAAATCATAGCTCGAAAGCTCAGTCCAGTGAGTTTATATCGGGCAGCTACAGTACAGAGAGTGGTGAGTGTGCGTGGGGGTCTGGTCTGGATGTGGTGGATGTGATATGATGTCGTTGTGTTTGGGGTCTGGTGTGGGTTAATTGGGGTGCACTCACGCTTCCCCCTCCGGTCCGTAGGGAGGGTACATGTTTCGGTTCTGCGGCGGATATTGTCCTGGGCCCTGTCCGAATGGCTGGCCGGGTGGCCCAGTGGCGTTGTACTGATCGCTCGAGCCGTACTGCCCGTAAGCCCCGGGCTGTGATGGATACGGTGAGCCTGGAAGAGTAATTCATAAAGAAAGCATAATGATAAGAACGATTCCACAAAAACGGAGTACTGCTTGCGTAAATATAAAAACGATTACGAAACGACGGTCTTTAAAGTTTGAAACATCCGTCTGAAACTAAGAAGTTGCTAAAATAAAATGCAAACAAATTTAGAATGTCTAGATCTAAAACTAAAGTAAAGTAATTTTGATAGAAATTAGGGTTGCACATAAGCAAATTTTGGATATAAAAAAAAGCTTGAAAAATGTGAGTAATAAAGAAACTGAAACGATAGCTTAATATTTAAAATATCACAGTATAGTATTTGAGATTAGAATTACACCAGCCATGCAATCATTACCAACTAGTTAGGATCAATAGCCAAACGTATCTTAAGAGTAAAGCAACAGTAAGACGAACAAAAAACGATGGCACATGAAGGAAAGTATGTGAAAATAGGATAAAAAAGAAGAGATGAGGGAGCAAAATAAAACATGAGTATACCTGGCGTTCTAGACACAGGCGTTGGGTAGCCGGAGCCCCCCGGCGGGTAAGGTGCTCCGGCGGCTGGGCGCACATGCTGCTGAGGCGACGGCGGCACCTGACCAGGCCCATGTTGCTGTGGTGCTGGTGGTGGCCCACCGCCCACTGGCGGTTGGGGCTGCTGCCCCTGCTGCTGCTGCTGTTGCTGCTGTGCCGGCGGCGGTGGTCCCACCGGCAGGCCAGGATGCTGATGCTGTGGATGCTGCTGTTGTTGCTGTTGGGCTGCTGCCGCCTGTTGGGCTGCGGTGTGCGGTGAATGTGGGGGCGGCGGATGTGGCTGTGGGCCACCGCCTACAGCAGCAACAGCTCCAGCACCACCGGGACCAGCACCTGGACCTGCACCTGGACCTGGGCCAGGACCGGCTCCCGAACCCGGGCCAGCGGCAGCAATGGGATCCTCGAAGGGATTGCTCACGCTTATATTATCGCCGGCGGCAACAGCGGCTGCGGCGGCGCCTGAGGGGCGGCAAGCGGCGATTTGGATGATTTGGTTTGGATGAATCGAAATGAATGAGTCAATGAATCACACACAAATGAATTGTTTGGTTGTTGTTGTTTTTTGGTGGTGGAGATACATGGAAGCATCGTTGTTGTGATGGTGGTTGGTGGTAGTTGGTGGTGGTGGTGGTTGTGGAGTTATATATTTTAGTAGTGCGCCCACACAAACGTTACAAAAACATAAAAATGAATAAACAAAATACACACATCAAATTAATAATTATTGATCAACGTAAACACTTAAAGTGGTATACTTAAATACACGTATATATATGTACAGAATAGGTTGGCGAAATAGGTTCGAGAAGAAGCATATCATCTATCAGATAACAATTTAGCAGTAATCGAAAACAAATATACCAGAACATAAAATGGTTACCACAAAATAAACATAAAGTATTATGTATTAGAGTGACAAGATCAGTTCTAACTTTTAAAACATCTGTACAAGTCGACGAGCTCTAGTTTTATTATATTTATATAATATTTATGACATAGTTTACGTAAATCATTTTTCAAATTAAAGAATGGGTATAATAAGAAGTTCATAACATTTTACATTAACTGGCAAGCGATTTGTACAATGTTTTAATGAAATTCAACCGTTCTAAAGTCACTCCAATTAATAGTTTATATATAAAAAAGCAAGTTAAATGTGTTCTTACCGGGATGAGGAGTCTGCGGGTTGTTCTGGGAAGGCGGACGTTGCATTTGGCCCGTGGCCGCATAATCCGGCTGCGGTCCGCTGGCTCCCGGGTAGGGACTGCCTCCCGGATAGCCGGGATAGCCATCGATCGCCGCGTTTGGAGCGGAGCCTGGCGGGGCAGGGAACGAGTCCTGAGAGTTCGAGGAACCTGTGGAGTTCGTAGTTCCAGCATCCAAATGTCCACCACCGATTGGTTGCAAATTGTATGCAAGTTGTTTTTTTTCGTGTGGTTTTTGAGATTGGGAGATCAGACGAGGAGAAAGTGGTGAAAAAAATTGTCGACAGGAAGGCGGGGAGAGCAAATCAAAAACGCATCGAAAAAAAAACAAAAAGAAAATTTAAATTAAGCATCGGGTGTTACACGAAATCAGGGCTAAACACTTACCTGGCGAAGGAACCGAGGCAGCCTTGGCCGTCTTCTTCTTGCTGCCCGCCTCCACCTGCTGGATGATGGGCAGGGGATCGATGTCACCGCGGTCAAAGTGGCACTCGAAGGTCAGTAGGTTCTTGGTGTAGTGTTTTCGCAGCGTGTATGCCGCACTGCTACTCGCACCGATGCCCAAAAGTCCGGCAATGTCCTTCCAGGTCTTGCTCTTGGTCACCTGATGGAACGAGAGAATCGCAGTGATGTTAATTAAGAGCCAATGCAGGGACTCCAAAGTTCATGGCGCAAGTCTCGATCGAAAAGAAGAGAATCAAAAGGTTGCGAGCACAAACAGATTTCGTGTGGGATGCATTTAGCAAGTGGTAGGATACTATAAACTACGTAAACAACTCAGAAAAATGAGGATGGGATGAGGGAAACTACTAAAGGTTAAGGAGTAGCACACGCTCCATACAGAGTTCCAATTAAAACCAATCAATAAAACAATAAATCAGAAATTTGTTTCATAATTTCTTGTTGAAATAAATCAGCCTCAATAAGTAAAATTATAAGTGATTTAAAAATGCAGATGCAAATAAAAAAAGTCAAAAACAAACAACAAGCCGAGTAAAATGAGAGCAATCAGTATAAAAATCTCAAAAATCCTAAGTCTAGCTTGGAATTCAGGCATAGTCTACCGATTGAAACTCTATCAAAATATTAAAAACCGAAAAGAAATGGGGTAGACCCCCTTGTGGAAAAATTAATTTGAGGGCATGCCTGATAGATATTAAGTATTGCAGATCAAAAAAGTTGAAGGTAATACCAAGTGGTTCTTGGATTCGGCTAGAGCATGCAAATCTAGAGGAAAACCAAGGCTGTACAACAATTGCCATGGCTTTTTCCTATGGAAAGCTTGTCCCACTGTTGGGAAAGGAAAGCTATACTCAGGATGCAGCTACAATTTGGACACATGGATCGGAGGCTGATGCTGGGGCAAAAGGTTGGTACAAAAGTAGCTGGGTGGCTGTGGCTTGACTTTAGTTTCTTGTTTTTACTGTAGCCGAATCACAATATTGATATTCATTCTATGTATGGTGAATATTTTTTTTGATTTGGATTTGGTTTGGTTTTGGTTCGTGTTAACTACGTTGGTGGTGTTTTGGTTGATTTGGTTTGGTTTTGCTAGTAGTAAATCTAAAAAGAAGTTAGTAAAAGGAGTTACTACGGCACCTTGCATACCTCGACGAATCCGCCACGTTCTTTTACATAAATATATAACCTATATAAATCGAGTGGCTGTTTTGAGATGGTGGGGCAGGCGGTGATCGGAGTGCGCCGCTCCTCCATGAACGCCCGCAGCTTGTCCAGCCAGCCGCGTCGGTCCGGATTGTCGTCCATCTCGTACAGCTTGCACAGCGAGTCCGACTTCTTGGTCGTGGTGATGGTGCTGCGGAATGGCTCCTGCGGCACCGGAGCATGGTTGAACACCTGCTGTGTAAGGAAAACACATAGACATTCCATTAACTTGCTCTAGTTTAAAGGACAAGATTGACTTACCGGGCTACCAGCCGGACGTGGCCAATTGGGAGGTGAACTCATGTCGTACTCCTCGCCGGGGCCACCGCCGCCTGGGTGCATCACAACCGGATGGGGCGACGTGCTCGGCGGGGCTAAGTGACTTTGGCTATAGGGATCATTCTTGCGCGACTTTGGTGTGGTGCATTGTGGGTCCTCGCCGGATGCTGAATAAAAAAAAAGCGAATAAAATCAGCCGCGAATCTCTTGAAGGCTTACACCCGAGTTCTACTCACCCGCTGATGCATTCGAGAGCGTGCTCTGCTGACTGACTTCATCCATGGGCGTTCCATCCGGCCCGGTGGTTACGACAGCGGTGACCGCATGCATTCCCGCGGCACCCGTAGGTCCCGAAGAGCTGATCCCGTTGTCCTGCGATATATGCTCGGGGCCGCCGCTTTCAGGTCCTCCTCCTCCGCCGCCGCCCTGTCCCTGCCCCTGGGGCTGGCCGCCCTGGAGCATCTGAGACTGCGGCGGCGTGCTGGTGGGTGGACCCATGTTTGTGGGTCCGTGCGGAGGTCCCATGTGGTGGGGTGGTCCCATCGGCATGCCCGGATGCATTCCGGTCGGCCCGTTGCCGTAGCCTTGCGGCCCTTGCGGCGGTGTCGGACTTCCTCCATAGCCGCCCTTGTGCTGTAAATGCTGCTTCAGATAGTTCAATGGTCGAGGCGATCCACTGCCCTGAGGTGGCGGAGGTCCGCCTACAACCGGAGGTGGCGGTGTGCCCTTGCCCTGCACATGATTGCCCACCATCGCGCCGCCGGGAGCTCCGCCGGGTCCGGCTTGCTGAGGCGAAGGCGGAACCCACTGATACGGCGGATATTGGCCAGTGTGGTTGGGCATGCCTCGACCTGGATAGCCGCCAGCCTGGGCCCCCGAAGGCATGCTGTTGGCACCACCTGCTCCTGCTTGGCTGGTGGGCGGCGGTGGTGGTCCGGTGGCGTAAGCGCCAGGCGGATACTGCGGGCGTGGCGGGTAGTTGCCTGGAAATAAGCCAATGATTAGTAATGTTATAAAGTGCAGGAGTTTTATAACTCCTTGTTGGTTTAAAAGAGTTTAGTAGTTTAAACAATTTAAAACGTAATATAAATTTAAAGTGACTATAGAAGAGCTGATCAATCTCACCTGGTGGATATTGCTGTGGCTGCTGCGGCGGATATCCCTGTGCCCCGGGACTCTGGCCCGGTCCGCCCATCTTGTAGCCGCCGTGCATGTGCGGCGGCATTGGGTAGCCTCCTCCCGCCGCCCCCTGCGGTGGTGGTGGGGGCGTGGCCATGTTGTTGATGCCCTGGTTTGGCGGCGGTGCCGGTGGCGGTGTTTGCTGCGGCGAATTGCTCGCCGACGAGGCCGAATTCGATGCTTGTTGCTGCTGAGATTGCTGCTGCTGCTGGGGCGGACCTCCTGGCATTCCCGGGTGCGGTGGCATCGGCGGTGGGCCACCCGCCCCAACCGGCGGCTGTTGCATAGGTCCGCCGCTGCTAGACTGGTTGCTCGCCGGACGCGAAATTGGGTGGTTTTGGGCTGCAATGAAAACGGATAATTAGGAGTGTCTTTTGATGAATCAATTGATGGAATACTCACCGACTGCCGGGGACATGGAACGCGAACCGGAGGAGCCGGTGGGCGAGGGTGTGGGTCGCATCACCTGTTGGGGATTGGGGGTGCCTGGTGGACCGGAGCCCATGCCACTGTGCGCCCCGCCGCTGGAGCTGTCGTTGCTGTTCTGTCCAATTAGCTCCTGGAATGGTAAGAGATAGAGAACCGGAATTAGTGTGCATTCAATCAAGTGCAATGGCCAACCAAATGCCGGCCGGCAGGTGGCACTTTTTGTAGTATTTATTTATTTAAATGAAAGTGATAGCAACTATGAATTAACCAAGCGGCAACCGCAATTAAGCAACTGCCAACGCACACAGAAACAGATATATAAACGCGAGCATATGACTGAGATTCAATTTTGAGTTGGTAGTCGTAGTAGACCAGCGTAAACATATTCATGGCAATCAGATGTTTCGGGTGGGTGTTTGGGCCCATTCCGATGTCAAATGTTGTTGCCAAACGATCCCGGTATTCGGGGGATTCATGGGACAGCTCCTCCCCGCTCGTCCCGCGACCTTTCCTGACATTGCCCGAGGAATTCGAGACTCCTTCGCCGCTCTGCTCCTCCCACTTACCCCGTCACAATTATTATAACCCGGTCAGGGGGGAGGAATCCGAATTCATAAACGCCAAGCGGCTTGAACAATAACAACTCTTAAAACAGTCTGCAGGCACCAGAAACTCGGTGCGATGCGACACGACTTTAACTTTTTGCCGCCTATAACTTATAAGAAAATCAAGAAAAAGCTACACACAAACAGCCCCACTCGCACACTCACTCACTCACACTCGCACACACTGGCACACATGGCAGCTACAACAACAGCGGCAGCAGACGTGCACATAAAGCTTAAGTCGACAGCAATTCGAAACACTCACACACAGGGCCATGGCAAAACCCCAGCGGAGAGAGAGCTCAGGAGGAGCAGGGGCGCCCCAAAGTGGGGGTCTAAGAAAAAGTATCTTTTGAAATATTCCATGCAACTATCAGCTTAAAAACTATCTGAAAAACATATTATAATAGCTCCGTATCATAAAAATTTTCTGATTTTAAAGTATGATACAAAAGGATGGGGAATTGAACACAGGTCAGCCAAAATAAGTTACAAGACTTGAAGAAGTTTCAATTTTAAATATAATTAATAACTAGATCTGATGTATTTTACATTGTTTTCGTGACTATTCAATATAAAAAATATATATTTTTCTATTCGAATGTTGAACATACCCATAAATCAAAAAAAAAAGTTTTTTTTGAAGTAACGATGGAAAACTATTTTAATGAATAACTTTTTTAACGAAACGTAGCATTTAATACAAAACATTTTCTACTCCAAGATTCCCAACAAGAATATATCTTCAAGATTTCAAAATATCTTTCGGTTAGGATCTCTGCCCCCTAAACTACAGTTGCACTAAGCCACTGGACAGACACAGCGGCAGCAGAAAGAAAAATACAACGAACGAACGAACGAGCGAACGCTGTTCGTTTTGGTATCTGAGAAATTAAGTGAAGTGAAATGAAATGTACGACGACGAACTGACGGCACAAGGCGGCGGCATGGGCATGGGATTGGGATCGGGATGGTATGGTATAGTATGGTATGGACTGGGGGTGTGGAGACGTAGCGGAGCGGGGCATAAAAGCTATGTGGAACGAACCGAGCAGCCAGTCAGCCAGCCAGCTAACCAACCAACGAGCGAGCGAGCGACAACGACTACGACGACGACGGACGGCTGCAACTTGAAGCGTTCCAAAGGGGGCGGTTGGGCGGGAGGGAGCGGGTCGGGGCTTAGGCGACGGATGGAGGCTACGACTACCCGGGGATCGGGCAAGTGGCTGTGGTAGTTATGGCGCGCTCGAAGCGAACGAAAGGCAACGGCAACGATGACAAAGACGTAGATAAGGAACAGAAACATGCGCACACAGATACACACCCATACCGTGGCACGTACACTCTAAATGTTGGAATACCAGACCAGGCCGTTCGTATTCGTATTCGCATTTTGGCGAGGGGTTCTCTCGAGGGGGGGCACCACTTGAGTTGCGAGACGATGACGAGAATAGCAAGCAAGCAGCAAGCTGGCAAAATCAAAAGCAAAGCTAAAGGCCAGGCCGGATAGAATGCTTTGTGCCCAGGGGCGTAGAGGGGTTGGATGTTAGGGGGTTCGTCTCTCGCAGGGGGGACAAACACAACAAGCGCGGCCCACGTTTGTAGTTTGTATCTGTATCTGTAGTCTGTATCTGTGTGTGCGCCTGTGGTCGCGTAGAAAAATTACTTGGAAAGGAAAACAAGCGCTGCGGATACAACAACAATGAAATCATTTATAACGAAAATAATGCGAAGCAAACACAAATAAAAAACAGATAAAAAATACAAAAAAAGAACACACCTCCCACACTTTTGCCCCCCTTTGCCAACCATCTGAATTCATCAGCGAAATAAAGTTCAGCCAAGATTTGCGCGCCAAAAGTGTTGAGAGTTCGATTTTTGGGCACGATTTCGGAGAAGGGGAATCGCCCTTGGACCCCACTTGAAAAATAATAAAAAAAAAAAAAAAAGGAAGAGAACCCCATCATCTTTCATCTTTCGTTCTCAAGATGCGATGATGATGTAGCAGCATTGGCCACAAGTTCGACTTTTGGCCCTCGAAAGCGCACTTCACCGCTTTTTATGCCGTGTCATCTGTGGACGTTCATTTAAATAAAGAATATGCATGTTGCTTGGATGGTTGGTTGGTAGGTTGGCTGGTTGGTTGGGTAGGTAGGTATGTTTATGTCTGGCTGTCAGCTGCTGCCGACGATGGAACCGGCGGTACTGGTGGCTCTGGTGGGACCTTTGTGGCTTATCACCTTAAAACCTTTAGCGATGAATGTGGCAAGCGAGCGTTGCAAAAATACAAAAAAGAAACATTAAAAAACAAGGCAAAAACCGAAAACAAGGACTGGCATACATGTGCTTGTTATGCGGCCAACGAAGAGATAAAAAATAAGAGAATTAAATGCACAAAGGAGCGGCACACACGAGAAACCAGCAGAAAGGGGCAGCAGGGAATTTATAAACACAGCCAGCCAGTTGGAGAGAAAAAGTAATAAACTCGGGGATATCATAAAAATGAAAACAAGAGGAAGAGGGTTAACACATTCAGATCGTAGCTTGAAATACCCTAGCTATAAGGTTTGCGATACCAATTAGTAGGTCTCAGATTAGCAGGAATTTTGATGAGAAATAAGGTTTATAACATTAAACTATTGCTTCATCTTGCAGTAACAGGGGTTATTAAAACTAAATGGTATTGGTATTGAAATGGTATTGATATATAAAGAAACCATTTGAAGTAAACCGCGGTTGATAGCTAGATTCTTATATTATACTTTATAATTAGGAAGTTTTTAATAAGATATCTGGATCCACTGATAAGGAAAGTGCTAACATTTCCCCAACTTCCATAACCTATTAAGCCCAAAGCTAGGGTATAGACCTCAAAAACTGCAACACTGAGAATGTAAAACAGACAAAAAATAGTTCACCACATCCCGCATAGTCTCGCAATCTTCTCACCCCTCTCAATGGTTTTCATTTTGTCCAGCTTGTACGCCGGATCGGAGGGGTTTAACCTCAGAGCCAGGGAAAGAGATATATAAAGAACACAGCCCAGCTGAGCGACAGCCAGTCGGACTGTCGCTCATTAGACATCCTCCAAGTGTGGGGGAGGGTCTCCATCTCCGTCTGGGTCTGGGTCTGATTCTGAATCCGATTCTGAGGCCGAGCGGTCGACTCCATGCTCATGCAATTTCTGTTTGCGCTTGCTGGAAATTTTATGAGCGAATCGAAAGTTTGTGCGATTGTGTTGAGTGTGCAAGGCGCACATTGCACAAGGGAACCACTCAGGCAGTCCCAGTACACTAAACGCAAATGAATATACAGTCCAACTTCCCTGAACTGATCTTCAAAGGAAATCGGAATGAATCTTCAAAGTTTTTAATGTTCTTTCTAGGAAATCATGGGTTTAACATATCACCAAATATGGAGAAACAAAAGTATAGTATGAACACAAAAATTAATTATAAAATTTAATTAGTGTTATTATAATATATCACAAAATCGTATTCATAAATACAATTTAAAATATTATCAATTAATTTGGTATACATATATTTAAACTAATTTATTAATGTTTTCCACATCTGAGTTATATATTTTTATAGGAATTTCTTATCGAATTCCATTCTTATATTTTCTTCACAGGAATTTATTTTGTTATGCATGTACTGTAAAGTTGAAATAATCTTTATCATCATCAAAATCATAATCAGTTTTTGGAACCCTAAAAAATGTCCGATTTTTTGTTTATGATAATGGTTTGAGTTATAGAAGTTCGACTGTATATGGAGACAGGCATATTCTCATATTCGTATACCAGCAGCAGAAGTCGCTTTGGATCTGCTCGGTTCGGTTGGGTTTGGTTCGCTTCGTTATGTTTCGTATCGTGGCGTTCGTTCGCTGGTCTTGCCAGCAGAGCATTCAGTCGCCCCCAATCCCTGGCCGCTCATCGCCCCCCAAACCACTTACAATATGGCAAACTGACAGACTGGCAAACTGACGGACCAACAGCCCGCCAGCCACTGCCAGCAGTAAAAGCGAAAAAAGAAAAACAACAGCCAACGCTGGCAGTCAACCACTTTGAGAGCTCAGACAAATGTCCCATGAATCGCACACTGGGCTCCAACCGAAAGCACACGGCCCAGAGTCGCAGTCAGAGCCGACAAAACCGGCAAGAGCCAGAGCCACAGCCAGGGCAATAGCAATAGCAAAAGCCAAAGCCCCGGACCAGACCGATCCAATCCGACCCGACTCTACTCGACTCGACTCGTTCGCATCGTTTCGTTCGTGGTGTGTATCCAAACGAGTGAACTGAAAAACAAGCGCACAATCACACGACCCTCTATATATAAATTTGTATGCGTTCATAACGAAGCAGTTCACAGGAAAATAAATTGTGGGCCTTTAAAAGGGTTATATAAAAAAGGGTTAATACAAAAATTGTAATATCTTAAATCTATTAAAATGTTTATCAAATACTAATGAATAATATTCATATATTATTCACAGATCATTCATCATTTTCTAAAGTAAACCACATGTCCGAATGAACTTTGTCAAGAAGTTAAATCTATCTTCTGAATATCTATCTATCTCAAACTACTAAAGTTACACCAATCAAATCTTTCCAATAACCTCTAATTGTACCAAAGGTTTTGGCATATAACTGATTTTCCCTCTAGACCTTTGCATAATCAGTATTCGGAATATCATTTTTAATAATAAAAAACATTTTTTAAATTTTAGAATAATCAAATATTAACACTATATTTTTCTCTGTGGAACAGCGCCAACTGAAATGAACGTTTTTTTTATTTCGACTTTATTTTTGCCTTTTTTCCTGGCTGCGCCGCCTGTTAAAATGAAAAACGATGATGATGCCGCCGCCGCTGCCAACAATAACAATGCAGCAGAGTCGCAGCAATGAGTGGAGCACTAAAATCCCAGTAACAACGGACGGAGAAAAACCGGCAAAATTGTTCATTGGCAGGCAAACACAGGCAGAGGGTCCAGGGGATATGGGTTGGGGGTACGGGGAAAGGCTGGGCCATGTGGCTCAGGGGGCTTTTGGGTTCGCAGTCGCAATAGCATTCGCATTTCGCATGCCGGTGCTCGGTGTTCGGGGTTCGAGGAGTTGAGGCCCAAAAGCCCCAACCGTGTGCACTGCACCACAGACAATTTCGGGCCGCATTAAATGAATGCAGCAGTTGTGCTGCCGCTGCTGTCTGCCTGGCCCGCAAATTTCAGATGCTGATAGGCATGAAGATAGTCATGCCAATTGCCCACAGAGAGAGGGAATATGACGCAGAACAGTCTTGAAATAAGTTTATAAACTAGGACACGTCGATATGCACGGGTATGCATATGCTCTTGAAAATCAATGGAAATGGTAATGGAAATGCCAGTGGATGCTTAAATAACACGCCATATAAAAGGTGTGTTTACTGTTTACAGGCAAACGGTTAAAAGCCATCAGTAGTTGAATATTATTGCTGGCAGTTGGCTTTTGTTCTGCAACACACGGTGAATTTAAAGCGGCTTACAAAATGCAATACGAAATCGACCAGCTTAAATAAAAACGGTCGAGGAGAGGTACTTCCCCTTAACTTTGGAACGGCTTAAAATGAGTGTTGGCTGCGGCTGATTACAGTTTTTGTTCGTTTTTGGTTGGTTTCAGTTTGAATTGGCCTGAAACGCGGATTTAACCTTGCAACAACCAATTATAATGTAAGGAAACCCGATTGGTTTGATTTTGTAATGTAATTGGAGTGCAATAGTTTAAAAATATTTTTAAATTGGTTTCGGTTTCAATACAATTACGGAACAAAGGGTATTCTAACTTCAAAAGTCGAAGGGAAACTATTTTGTGAACAAAATATTACGATTTTGGAATATGTTCAAGGGATTTGATAATACAAGATCCTAGATATTTCAGAAGAATTTTTGACTGCTTTGTACAGTTTTGAAGAAGTAGTGTCCATGAAACCCTAGACCTTTTGCAAATCAGTCAAATTCTTGGCTAAAGAGATGGATCGATAGCGACTAAAGAGGACCTGAGTTGATGAATCGCCGGTTCGAAATGAGAGTACACATAAAATGTAAACAACCCGCTAAACAACAACAACATCAGCAACGACGACGCGAAGGAGATGGAGGTAAAGCAAGAACAAGAACAACAATGACCTTGGCATTGACCCAAATATATGGTAACAGACGCTTTGTGTGTGATCTTGAGTGTAGTCATGCGAGTGTGTTGGTTGCATATACATGCCACATACCAAATATAAAGGGAATGGAGGGGGAAAAGACCAAAATACGAAATAAAGAAATGGTATGGGGCACAGGAGGATTGTCGACCGGGCAGGGGGTGGAGCAGGGGCTGCGGGGAGGGGGTATCCACGACGGCCGCGGACATGCTGAATGAATAAATGGGGTACAAAGCAAACGCACACATCCGCGGGCACTTCACTTGCACAGCTGCGTCCAAAATAATAATACTAGGGGTCTACTAATGTTTTTTAATAATACCCTCTTACATATCACAGATATCGAAGGGTGGAATCGAATCACAGACCATCAAAATGTGCTTACCTATTCAAATATAAATAACCATTTTTGGAAAACCCTCTCATTTTGATCCATCAAAAACCATCCACTGGATATTGTTCAGCAAATAACGAAATCCGCAAATGGTGATGACACGTGCATAAACGATCTCAAAAACAGGAGGTGGGGCGCAACCAACCAGACTGTCGGCATTGCGAAAAATAAACCAAAAGACAAAGGGGGAAAATGCCGCCGCCGAAAGAAATAGTAATCAAAACAAAATAAAAATCATTAAAATTCATAAAAACAAATCAAGACAGCCGACGACAACAACAACGATAAGGCTAAAAGCAATTTTAAAAGTTAAGGTAAAGGGGCGTCGTCAAGAGGATGGGATGCGATAGCGGTGGTTCAAGTTCAAGGGAAAAGCGGGAGGTGTTTAGGTAAAAAAAAAACAAGAGTGAAAAAATCATATAAACCCACACAAAATATAAAGAGCCAAAGGGCAGGAAAAGCCGGCGGAGAGTAATCTCAACCCAAAAATGAGTGCGAGTACCAGGGTGGGGGTACGAGTAGGGGGCTATGAGTACCAGTATGAGTACGACTACGGGTTCCACCATGGCCAGGCATAAACATTTGACCTGAACAACTTTTGTAGACTGCCTGCCTCTTGTTGGGCAAGGTGGCACACGACGGAAAAGGGGGATTGGTATTGGGGTACGTTTTTAGGGTGGGGGATTCGAAATGGGAATGGGAATCGCAGGTAAAGAGTGCGACGCCAACGTAGACGTATGTGTGACGTCACGAGTCAAGTTCACGTGCTGTTCACGCAGCACAGTTTATTGACCCACTTTCGATGTGTATTATCTAGAAAAGCTGCCAACACGAGTCGTGAATGGGATGCGGGGAGGGGGGCTACTACTGGGTGGTCGTCCCACGGCAAAACATCCAATGAAAGTGCAAATAGCAAATGTGCTTGCCCATATAAAGCCGTTATTATCATAACATACTATGGGTAAATATACAACTACCTCCGATTAGAGCTGATTCATTGTGGCTTCTTCTTTGAACAAGTACTTTCGTTATTTAATAGAGGAAGTATATAACATATACATTACTGATATATAGTATGTTATAAGGCATCTACAACAAGATGTTGTTTTCGAAGAACGAAGAAAACTTGGACAAACCATTAAAACCTCACGACTAATTTTGCTTGCCAATATTCCGGTATTACATAAAACAACCCAGCTGCTATATGATCCAACTTATATTTGTTCCTATCTGCTTGTTTTCCTCGCGACAAGTATTACTCATAGTGCTTCAACTTCCCAGAGGATACTAGTTTTTCCTCCAGAATCCATTTCCGGGAGTGAATTTAAATCTCTTACCTGGTGCGGCGAGGGCGACGCCTGCGAGGGTTGAGGTGATGGACTGGGCGCATGGCCAGGACTGCTGCTGGGCGGCGGTCCGCCGGCGGTGACGTGTGGCGGTGGTGGCGGCTGCTGCTGCAGGGGCGGCACATGGTGCGGGGAGGCGGGCGGCAAGGGATGTCCGGGACCGGGGCTGGGCGAGGACCCACCTGGCCAAGGTCGATTCGGTTCGGGATACTGCACAAGGACATTATGAAATGGTTAAATGGTTAATTGTACCTCTTGTAAAAGCTACACTCACCTGGTGCGTCGAGTAGGCAGTTCGATGGTTGGGTCCGCTCGCCGGCAGTCCCGGCGGTGTGGGATAGCGTTGCGGGTACGGCGAATATTGAGATGTTGGCGGTGTGTTTTGCTGCGGCGGCTGCTGTCCGGCGCCAGGAGGTGGTCCGCCCGGCACAGGACCGCCGGGCTGCTGTCCCGCCTGCTGTTGCTGCTGCTGCTGTTGTTGTTGCTGCTGCTGTTGCTGCTGCTGCGGCGAACTAGGATAGGAACCTGAATTTTGACCGTGAGCTGGCGGATAGGGTGACTGACCCCTGGAAGTGTTTGTCTATGGATGGAAAAACAAAATGGGATCAATAAAAGCCAAAGGAGACTCATAAATATCTAATGATTGTCAAAGTTTAACCCTTTGCATACACTTAAGGAACTAACCTTAATGCTGAGATACTTTTCTAAGTCAGTTTAACAAAAACACCGAGCCTTTGGATGTGGTATTTAGAGCCATTATAAAAATTTAAATAAATCAACTCGCTAATAAATATTGTATGTGTAATTTTCTATCAATTTGAGGATGTGTCACGTGGGTCCTTAGAGGGTTAAATTGTTGGTGCGACAGGGATGGCAGATGGGTTTTTAATTACAGACATCTCGCTCTGTCTCTTTCTCTCTCTCCCTGTCGCTCTTTGACTCTCTATTTATATCCTCCCACACTCTTTTCCCCTGCAATTCATCAATTATTTGCGCTTGGCTCCGCCGATGTATTTTCGTCTGTGTGCGAACAGTGCACATTCCATTTTATTGTATATATCATTTTAATCGATATTCCACAACCAATTCCCGTAAATGCGCGCACAAATACACACCCTCGTGCTCATGTGTGTGTTCGGTTCGGCACAGTGGATGTCCTCGGATTAGGACACTCTCTGCATTGGAAATTTCCAGCAATTAATATTCGATTGTGCAGCTGGGAAGGAAAACTAGACGATAATTGGAAATGACCCCGGCGACTGCACAAGTGCCCCTAATTATTTGGCGCCCACTGTAGCGTGTGTGTGTGTGTGTGTGTGTACACTGCACAATATTTAGGGGTAGGGGTAGAGATGGAAGGGGTGAAAGGAGCGACATCGACGCACCCTCGGGTGTGCTGTCACTTGACAGTCACAAATGCGCAGATTAAAAAGAGACAGTTCAAAAAATATGCTGCCAAAGGAACCTAAATGCTGGCAATAAAAAGTGGAAATATTTACCACTATAACGGCAAAAACCCCCACACATTCGCTTATACAATGCAGGGCAGAATGATAGTTTTCTACTTATCAAGTATGTCCCAACTTAACTCGGGAACTATATAGTAGTTCCTCAAAAAACTTTTGTAAAATCTGTATTATTAACAGATTTATAACTACAGATCATCTGCGATAAATAAATGTTTAGATCTCCAATTTACGGAAGTTCAAATACCAGGGGATATCTTATAAATGTCGTTAATAACTAAGATTCTTAGCAAAATTCCACAATGCTATACAGGCGACCTGAGCTGTGCATGTCCTCTCCAATCAGTTCAAATTACGACGCTCTGTCCTGAAGGAGAACGCATTACTGGTGGGGCTGGGATGCGGACAGTCGATTGCCTGCCACTCCTGGCTCTTGCTCCTGCTCCTGGATCTCCCTCCGCCACGCCGTGACCCACCACACACAGCACCAGCACCAGAGGAAGAAATCCACTTGAGTGGAATATAAAGTGAAACTTACGGACGCTCATACATGTACATGTGCAGAGGCGGCCAGGACAGACCAGGGTAGACCCGACCAGGCCAAGCCAACGACAAAGTTGCAACAAAGTCAGGGGAAAAGGAGCTTCGAGACGGAGAAGACACCTCTTGCTGCGGTACGTGGCCTGTGCTCGGCACAGACAACTGGAGCAGGACGAGCAAAAACCAGGCAAGGCAAGGCATGCCATGTGCCATGTGCAAGTGGAAGTGTGTGTGGGAAAGAGCTTTGGATGCCATTAATGAAAGGATTTTCAACTTGACGTGGTGCGACAAGGCGGACCAAGTCGCAGCACACAGCACAGAGCACATAGCACACAGCACAGCACAGCGACCGTCTGACATGGCAAGTGGAGAGGCGCTTGGCAAGCTCACAGACTTTCGGTTCGCCCTCGCAAACACAAAACCCCACAGTGGCGTACACACAAATGTAGCTGGGCAACAACATCGCTGCGAATGCCACAGCCCGGAGTAAAATGTGGCAATAAATCTAATGGAAACTCACAGCAATGAGGGAACGAACCGGAGAACCAACCGGCAAGAGTGTTGCCAGCTCAGCTACTTTTATGGCAAATTTGGCTATAATATTTAGCAAATATCAAAAGATACTGAATATACAATGAGTGATTTTAAAAACCCCCTATTAAATTTATTTTTAGCCTCAAAGCTAGCTTACAATAATTGGAAAATTAAATGTATTTAAATGGATTTTTCCAAAGGTAGTTAAAAAAAATGGTTCACTTTAAACTGTTATGGTTTTTTTATGGTTACCAATGCTAGGTGAGTGGTTCTCAAACAGCTGTATAACCAAGCCTCATATTTGCCGTTGCTTTGCTTGGTTATAGTTGTGAAATTAAATTTAAGTGGCTAACAATAGAAATGCCGCTAGTACATTAGTGCAAACAGTTATGAAACATGTGCCGAAACCAACGTAAAATATTATATCATATCAAAATAACATGAAATGGATAATGGTATTATTATAACCAATTGATTTTAAAAGTTTAAGAATTCCTAAGAAAACGCTATAGGTTTCTGTTTTATGTTTGGGATAGAAAGTAGTTTTCATGGTATACAACAAGACTGTTGGTCATAGTAAACCTATATTAAGCAAATATTTCTAGACAAGAGGTTTTATTTATATTAAAAACTCTATAAGCAGTAGCTAAGTCTAAAAAGGCTGTATTTCCATAAGACAACACTGCTATCAACACAGCTTAGTTGGCCTGGCCAAAGGTAAGGAATGGTAAGGTAAGGAAAGGCATCTCAAGGCAAGGAAGCCAGAGCCATATAGCCAGAAACAGAAACGTAGACAGAACCAGAACCAGGGAACCAAGGGCCAAAGCCAGATCCCGTCGTTCGGGCAACGAGGACAACGACAACAACAACTACAACAATCGACAACGACGACGGTCGGTCGGTCGGTCGTTCAGTTCAGTTGGGTCGGTCCACTGCAGGGTGACAGGAAACATGAATGGATGGTTTTCGTGCTCCGCTGTGTGCGTGTGTATCTGTGTGCGGAGCGAACGAGCGAGGCAACGAGAAATAAAGTTAAAAAAAAAAAGGAAAAAAGAAAAAGGGAAAACTCATCATGGATGAAAATCAAAAGCAGAAACGGCAACGGCGGGTAGAAGCTGAAGTGGAATTTGAATTAATGCAGCAAGGGTCGTACGGTGGCACAAACAGACAGGCACACACAAACGCACACACACACAATGAGTGTAACGAACGAATGACGGTTGGAACGAACGTCGGTCGGAATTAAGTTCGGGGAAATCGGGATCAGAGGTATGGAGGGGGTTCCACTGAACGGCCTGATGGTGGTTCTGAGTTCTGTTCTGAATTCTGGTCTCTGGGCTCTGAGTTCGGGGTTCGGGGTTCCGAGCTCTGAGTTCCGAGTTCGGGGTCTGATGGTGGTAGGTTTTCCAGCTAAAAGCCGGCTACATGTATTATAATATCGCGGGAACAAAAACAATGCGCAGCAGCCAAGGGAGTGGTCCTGGTCCTGGTCCTGTTTGCTTTCCTCTCCTCTGTGCCCTCTCCTGTCCTGATCCTGGGTTTATAATTTCATAACGAACAGACACAGATACATACATACACATACACACCCACGGGTGGAAGGCGATTGCATATAAATTGTGCGAAGGGAAAAACGTGGTAAATGCGATTTCGTGGCAGTAAAGGTAAAGCCGGCAGTTGTAAGGGTTGTATGAGGAGGTGGAAGAGGGTGGCATAGTATGGTATAGCAGAGTGAGTGGGTGGGGGCGCCCGGAATGGATGTCCCTGCAGGCTGCCCCTGCTGTTGCTGCCGGCAAATGGGAGGAAGGAATTACGTGCACAACTCTCGGACGGGCGTAATTTTTAATACAATGTCGCACTCTCCACGCGCCCATTCACATTTGCAGCAGTTGCGGAAAGATAAACAAGGCAACTGAAATAAACCAATGCAGTCCCCGACACCAACTGTCGCAAAATATTACGAACGAAATTTTGAGCGATTACTTCTTGGCCTCTGTTGTAATGCTATTTAATTAAATTGAATAAGCGATTTTTGAAAGGTTGTTTCAATCAATTAGGCATTGTTTTTTAGGAACCATATTATACTATTCCAATAACAGATCCTTGATTATTAATTTTTAAAATCATTACCAAGAAGTGTTTCTATTGGGATGTCTTGAAAGATAAAGATATTATTAAAATGTTCGTTGAGTTCTTTCAAAGAAGACCTCAATTTATATCTTAAGAACTAAGATCCCTCTATAAGAAGCTAACGAAGACAGAGTGATGTCTATGAATATTTCTAGTGTAATGAACATTTTGGCAACCAATATAACAGATTTTACAGTGGGATGAGTCTTGGAAGGGAGGCCAACAAGAAGGTCCTTTCCAAGCGAAAGGCACAAAAAGGAGGCAGTCAGAAGGAAGAAGAGGAAGAGCCACGGCAAGCAGGGACAATAACAGTTAAGGCAACGGTTTTGTGTGCTCCACTTTTTGTAGGTCAAACTTTAAAGGCACTCCAATACAGGCACGCCAACCCATACATGCGAAGAAACAGCATAAACAAGCCGGCACACAGACAGCAGTTCTCTCTCGAACAAAAAAAAAGGGAACGGAACAGAAAGCCAGAGGTGGGGGAGTAGGAAGAAGGCCAAAAAGGAACAACAAAGACACAAACATAAAAGAGCGGTTAATGCAATGCCGTTTGCTTTCCCCAAAAAATAACAGACATGAAGACCAAAAGAATAAAAAGAGGCCTTAGTTTTTAAGCTCTTTAATATATGCCAAAAAGTGTTGTTGCTCTCCTTGTTGCACCTGTTGACCTCAAAGGAGAATCAAACGTCAAGGATATATGAGCAGCATACGGGATGCAGCACACTTGCATTCAAAGAAAGAGATGGGTGTGGGGTAAGTGGGCATTGGTGGGGTAGCGAGGAGTGCGAGTGAGCCAAGTCATGTCATCATCATAGTCGAGCCCTCCTCCACCTCCTCTCTTTTGACTGTGCGCCGGTTTCACTTGATTTTCATTTTTATTTTGTTTTGGTTTCTGCTTCCTCCACAG